ACTCTCTCTATAACGACCAAAAGCAGAGAAATTACATATAGGGACAGAGGGTTCGTTATAGAGAGAGTGAACTGTATTCGCATTATTATTATTATCTTTGCGTGATGTTATGTATGGGATAAAAAAATATCATGTCAATACTCAATATTCTCCAATTTAATGAGGAGTTTAAATAATTACGAGATAATTTTGGCAACTATTAATTATAATTATATATTATTATGACAACTACACTGATGATTATTTATTAAACCTTCATTTTTCACAGGCCTTGCTTGAAAAAGCATTAACATAAAACCTTGTAGCAAATGATTATTTTTAGTAAATAAAATTAATTTTTAACGTCTTTAATAAACTTTTAAAATAAAAATACCGTTGCTTTATTTTTCGTTTAAAGCGTTTTGGTAAAAGTAACAAATGGAGTGCCTTGGTAAGAAGGCAACAATTGTGGAACATTTGTAAAAAACTGCATTAAGTTATTGAACTAACTAATGTGTGTTAGTAACTATTAATAATATAATTTAGTGAGTGAGCAAGCATTTAGTACAAAGGTTGGTTAACTTATGGGTATTAGCAATGGTTATTAAAGTATTACCCAAAGGTTATTGGAAATACTAGCGGTGCTATTGTAATTGCAACGTAAGACCGTCAAACAAGCTGCTTAAATTGTTTTGTAAATAAACTAAAATTGGCCAGATAAAAAAACAACTGAAATAAAAGGAACTTTACAGAAGCCGTTGAGCTTTGTAAGAGTGACATTTTATTTATTTGCAATTATTCGGTACCATTAAGTGTATTTATATTTCACCGAAGATTTCTATGTACGATAGAGAAAATAGAAAAGGTTGTTTTTTTACAATCATTTGAACGAAATAAAGAAAATTCCAAAAACAAGGCACTAAGTGGATTTTGCGAAAGTTGTTTCAGCGCTTGACTACGGTGTCCACCGAAACTATGTCAAGATACCGAAACCTAAACCGAAACCGTACTGAGGAAATAGGCTAAAAAAAGGTTTGGATTAACTAGGATTAATTATAAAATTTGATAATGATTTTTTGATAATATTTTTTATAGTTAATTGACAAAAGAATTAGCGATTTTTAGTGAAATGTATCCATAGTTTGACTTTCGATTTAGGTTTTGAATTTCGGTAATGATGATGCTTAGGCTCCATAGGATAATATGGGAAATGTTAAGGTTATAATATCTTTTATGATATTGAAAATTTTGTTCTCTTAGCTTTAATTCATGAAAGGGCCGTCTGGGCTTTTACAACATCAGGTTCAGAAGGTTCAAAATGTCAAAATTTTTTAGTACCATCTAACTTCTTAAAGTATATTTCTAAGATGGATTCAATAGCAAATTAACAAAATCCATCTTATAATAGTTTTATTCAATACGACCAGCAGTACTGAAACATGATTCAACACAGCTGCTGTCCTTCGATAAAGTTTAACTTAATTTATAATTTTTTTTTCAAATAAATATCATTTTATAGATTTCAATTCAGAGATAAAATTGAGCAAAATTTTATGCTTTTGTCATGGTAAAAATTTGTTAATAAAATTGATTATAGATCAAAAAAATTCTGAATTAACTAAAGCTGAGCGAGGAAAATTTTTGGACCTTATCATGTCTTTTGTTAAACATGTTGCTGTGAACAAAGCTCTGAACAAGCCGAGTTTATACTTAATTCGAGCCAACTTGAAATTTAGTATTATTTTTTTTTATAAAATCATGATTTTGCAGACCACTGAAAATAATAGAATAATTATAAAGGTAAAACAACAATAAATATAATAAATTGTATTATTACGCGTAATTGAATTAGAACATTTAAATCATCATCAATAATTTTATGGCAGACTAGAAAATTTCAAATGAGAACAATTAAGATTCCAATATTTGTGATCAAGCTAATTTAGCATTTGGGGTTTGTACTATATATATTAAAAAACAAAGATGATTAGAGATTTACAAAAACATAAGAATGTAATTACTGGATGAATAATGATACCTTACCTCAACACGCATCAAAGATATAATAAGTTTCTCTATAATTTGCAAATTATTGATTGATAAGGGTAGTTTAACTTTTTGAAGCAAACCTAGATGCCAAACTCCTCTTGTTTTCCAATCCAACCCATATATGTTAAAATTATAATCTCAAATCAAATAGATTGTGTTATACAATAGGAATGTACTGGAAAAAATTAAAATTATTGAACTTACTAAATGTGTATACTCTGAGAATAAAAAGATTGTGAAACTTGTTTGGATCTATGCCATTGTTTTTATTCCTTTGTTTATCAACACATCTTGTAACACAACTGCTAGATCAACTTTGACCATCCATTTTTTACTTTTTGGTGCCGAGGGAAGACCACCAGGTCTTAATCCAATTAACATTTCAAATTGATCCTTGCTGATTCTGAAATACATCTTTTGTCCAATTAAGCTTCTGTCAGTGGGCTTGGTTTTCATGATGGTGATTACTGATGAAGCAAGACCTTGAATTTCTCCTCTGTGCATTGCAAATTAACAGGTGAATCAAATTGACAAATACATAAACAACAAATAGCCAATAAAAACCTACTCTTCATAATGATAAATTTGGTCAAAAGTTAATATTCCTCTGGTAATCGTATTTGTGAAATTGCTACCAAATGAGGCTTCAGACATTGGCAAATGTAAGCGTTGCAGATTATACGCACTATTTAATTTAAAATTATTAAATCTTATGACTATCAAAAAACCAATGTTATGAATAGGCAAAAAAAGAACTTACTATGTCTGAATAAGTCATCTAATTGCATTAACTCTTATATTGTCCTATAAATGATGATCATTAGATCTGCACTTTCATAAAAAAATCAATACAGATGGATATACATACTTTAATCACACAACTTTCAATTCTGGCAATTAGGTCAGAAGGTTTCTCCATTAACATTTAACATGGGGACAGCTTATTTAACTGATACATTAAATGAAAGATAGTTAATATAAATTCACTAACCTTGGTGATTTTGTCCATCAGCTCATAGATAGGCCTCTCTTGTTCATCTTCCAAACCATTTAAATTAACATTGCTCTTAAAATCTTGAGTCATTTCGTTCCATTCTTCATCTGTGAACAAATTTTTAACTTCAATATCCTCTCCAGAAAGATCTAGTATCCCAAAGTAGGTCAGACTAAAAATATCAATATTAGAATTTAGGAAATTAAAACTAGAGAGCAATATGTCTATGCTTCCAAAAGAAAGTGTAACTCATTATAGACATGCCTTGGTGCAGGGAATATTTTCACGGTATTTGGATAATACTTTGCCAACATCCTTACCATTTGACAAAACCCAACTTGCGACAGTTTCAGATGAAACCTAAGTTAAAAAAAAATGATGATAATTAGGTGAACATCAAAAGACATAGTTGTTAGTATACCAACCATATCAACCAGAATTTCTTCTTTGAAGTACAATTGGATACATTTTCTTCATAATCTTGATACTTTTCATGATCATCAGAATCGTTATCTAATTGTGAAGTTGTGCTTCTGCATTTTGGTTCTTTATAATATGGATTTTCAGGTTGTTCATTTTTTTTCAAAAAAATAATAGTTAAAAACGAAATAGTCAATAACATTATAATTTTGAATAACCTCCTCTTTATTCTCTCCAACTTTGATATCCGAAACTGATGTTTCGTCATAAAATTTATAATAATTTGGAATACTCCTTCCATTTCTGGTTTTTTGGACTGAACCTTGTGGTCTTCCTAAATATTAAAATACAAAATAATTAGTTTTGTTGATTCTCAACTTCTAGTTAAAAACAAAAACACGCACCACTTCCTGATTTCTTTTATCCAACACACCATTGATTGCTCCAGAATTATTCATCATAGCATCCCCTATAAGTATTGAATTATGTAGATATATTGATGATCCACCAATCTTTCTGTTTGATTTGTGCTTGTCCTCCCATTTTCTTGCCATAAAGTAAAAGATTTGAAATTATTAATTAAAGTCATTCTCAACATTCTCAATGCATTTTCATGGTCTCTCATCCCATCAGATTGGCTAGCAACCTTGAACATCAGACAACCTAGCAAGTCGTCTGTGCCTCAACACTTGACTATGGCTTGGCTAACAACCTTGAATGATCAGCAACCTAGCAAGTCCCTGTCACACCAATTTATTCAAGCAACTTTTCCAAACAAAAAAAAAATACTTTCCTTTTTATATCTGTCAATAAGGGTTTGAGCTTTTTCAGCCCTATTACCTTTTTCATGTTTAACGATATCTTCAAGGCTCTTTATGTAAAGATCAATCTTTATTTCAAACGGTTCTTCTTCACATTCATTTAAAAATCCGGTTATACACCATTCAGAGTATTTATGATGCCTTTTGACATTATTTTTTGCTATTGAATTTTCCGAAAAAAAGTTTTGTATATTATCCCTTAAATTGGCTATTGTACAAATTTGTACGATTAAATTTTTTTATATAAAAAAATTTTTCTGATCATCACGCTTTCTAATTAACAAATGATATTTGAGATTCTATACATTGATCTATATATAGAAATTCGGCCATTATTATTATGGGTTTTGTAAAACTGTAAAAAGTCTACAATGCCCGTGTCGATCATTACCTTAAAAATTGATATATTCATAATAAAATTTTTTATTGTGCGATTTGATTGGTGGAATTTTGTAATTTACCAATAAAATTTTTCGAAATTCCCTTATTCGAAAATGTGGACAGTTTAAGGGATAAATAAACAAAATGTGCACACTTTATTTTTTTTATTTTTCCAACACAAAAAAAAAAAAAAAAAAGTGTTCAATCATAAAAGAGAACCCTTTAAATCATGGTTGGTGGAACATTTAGTATTGGTTTTAGATAAATAGATAATAAATTTGTTCCTTCTAGAGATCTTGGATTTTTGTTGGGCAATAATGCATCATCATGATGTTTTCTTTTTCCAACACTTATTGTTTTTCTTTCAAGTGTCTGAGTATCATCTATTTTGAAAATCTAAGGAGCAATTTTTTCACCTTGTTCCTTCTTCAAAATACCTCTAATGGTGCTATAATTCTTGGGTAAGGTCGCTGAATATTTTTCTCCTGAAGAAGATGGTTCCATAGTAGATCTGATGTAAATTAACTTCATATTATATAGGGATAATTCTATATATCACTCAAGGTAACAAATTGGACTGTTAAATTATAATTACAATGCAATTGTGATAATAATGACTAAATTTTGATCCCTGAAATTCTTGATAATATCAATGTTCACTTTGTCTGGTTTTGTTGCAGCATTCCCCATTTTAAGATTTTATAATTAAATATCACAATCTTTCCAAATGATAGATTAACCTCATGTCAGACTCTGGAGGATATAATTAAAGCTCCAAATGAACTGAATTGAGTCGAATTTTAAGGTGATTCTACTTGAATTCAAAAAAATGCATTCAATTCAATTCAAACCAATTAATGTCATATTAATAGGGCTTCTACTTGAATAAGATTTATTTTTTGTCTGTTATGAACTCAAGTATATGAATTACATTAAATGTTTATTCAAATAAGAACAAGTATATAGAAACTCTACATAATATTTATTAAATTATTATTTTTAGAAAATTTTATATCAAACTACACATCATATTATATTGAGGTGCTTGAGAGTTTAAGGTGGTCAATATACAACACAGTTGGTTGTCAAAACAAATGAATTATTTATTATCAATAGACACATCATAAAGTGCAAGAGAATGAAAAGCTATATTTAATAATTTCTATTCATTATCCCCCAAGCCTTTGAAATATTCTGTACACCAGGGTAATAAGCAGGTTGAGATAATTAAAGACTCTTTCAACTTTCAACAATTTTCACTACCAATGCCTGCCTTTCCATTTTTTTTTTAATAATAATCCATTATTCTATTCAAATTGCTCCTAACATTGATCAAATTGAACTTGGCAATCTACATCTAAATGTTTCCTTTTTATTATGAGATTGTTTTATTCCACATAAATAATTAAATAAATAAACAACATAAACCATAATTTGACACCTGTAATAAATATATTTTCCTCAAGTATAATAAAATTTGACCATTGTAAAATAGTAAATTATAAATCACGGGAACGAACATATAAATCGGAAATGATTTACATGTATCACGAAGTGAAAAT